TCAGGGCTGTCCTAGTCCGCTGGGCAGCCTGCTGTGTCACTGCCCCCAGTAAAGACTCCTCTCGTGTCAGAAGGTCTGGTCTGGTTCTGTGTGGGTCTCGGCCCGATCATATCAGTATTATAGTTAGGCACTTTTCTTTTAGACAGTGTATAATATAAAATATTGTTTTCTTTATATGTGTTTTAAATATTTATTAAAGTAAGCTTATGCACAAGCTCCTAGTCTAACCTTCCTCTTATTTTTTTTCCCTCAGATATTTCTGCATTGTCTTCTAGAGCAGTGGTTCTTCTTTTAATCACCCTCTTTCCCTGTCTTGAAATATGGATGTCTTTCTACACATCACCTCCATGGTTTGGAATGAAAAAGATGGTTTTCTTTTGTTCTACTTCTGAGCTTCAGCACGGAGAAGCCCTTAGGATGCAGTTATCCTGTGACGTCTCCAGTAAAAAAAAATCCAGCTGACGTGGGGCTTCTGCTGTGGTTTGCTTAATTACAAAGAAATCATTTGGCAAGGTGAAGGCATATGTGTTTAGTTTTAAACAGGTGCTTAGGTCATGATATTTGTGAATTCTTTCACTTTGTTCCAAACAAGAAGAGTATATAAACAGCAAGTGTGGATGACTTCAGGGGTTCTTAAAAATGTCTTCCAGCTTTGGCCACTATCTGAGAAGCACAGTTAAGACTGCAGCAGTAACTTCCAAATAGCGTGATTTGAAATGAAAGAGATGTTAAAACAGTTACATATATCTCAAAATCCTGGCTTACTTATCCTGACATAGTTTACTGGAGCAGAACAAAGGTCCACTATTGTAATTAAACGTTTGATATTATAAGGAAGTATGAAGATATTAAGGTTGATTTCCTATATGAATAAACCATCAGTTTCTGTAGATACACATTTTTACACATCTAAACCCACATTTTTGAACAAAAGAAATTTTTTTCTCCTAGAGAAGGACAATATTGACTTCTTTTTTAGAAGTTTTTGGAAATTTGATATTTAAAAAAATTTTTTCTCACTCTTCTAAGAAAGGACCAACTTGTATAGCAGCTAATCCTGTGAATGCATGTTTTCACTTAGTTGAAAGAATGATAAAAGAAAACAACACAGTTTGAATCCAGTGATGGAATTCTATTGACTTCCCTGAGATGAGTAGCTACTGTTTAACAAATTTCTTTATCCCTTTGCGGAGTCATATATAGCACATGAGACTTTTTTTCCTTGTGGTGAAGGCCAGAAGAAAAGTGCTGCAAGTGGTTCACTCCAGAAGATGTAATGGGCCCTGTTGTACAGCCTGCCCTCAACTCTGGGACATGGAAGTGTGCAGATAAAATGAGAAAAGTTTCGGTATACCTTGCTCCTAAGAAAAAAAGCAAAATGTCTTATGTAGCACCATCTGAGTTTTGACATTTTACATTATATAGCTTAATTTTTTATGAACTTTTTCTTTGAACCAGGATGGGCACTTAATGTTTTATTTTTCTAGGCAATAGGTATAATCTTAGGTTGAAAAGGCTAGAACTCAGGTAAATATCCCTACTTAGAACTGAGTTTTCTCCTTAGAGAATGAGCCTCAAAAGTAATGTTCCCAATCCTGTGCTTGGTCATTATAGATTTAGAAGAAATTTAGGATCTGCAAAGAATCTTAAGAAAAATAGTTCTAATAAGAATTACCGGTCTACTTTATTTTCCCTTCACAATTAACTCCATGATGAACACACTGTTATAGAACCGTGTCCCTCCAACAGAGGACCATTGTGTGAGGTGTCAGGTCTCTACATAAGAAGAGTGAAACCTTTATTTTTGATTCTTTGTGAGTAGAGAATTTTAAACTTGTTAGATCATTTCTCTTTGTGGGATGGGTTCCCAGGGCTGTGGGTGCTGTGATGCCGGGAATTTTAGGCAGATTAACCAAAATTTGAGAGTGATATAGTAATAACCAAAAATAGGAAATGTTGAACATTGTAATGATTAGTCAGAGTGGTCATCCTATTTGGGCTGGGGGGGGGGGACCTTTTTCATAAAGCATATAAAAATACAACTTCTTTTAGTTGAGGGCAGTTAGGGATAAAGTGAAAATAATACTGGCTAAAGGTAACTTAAATTTTGCTAAAGGTAACTTAAATTCTTCTCTTAACTCCCTAGTCACTTCCTCATATTTTCCATTAGTATTTTCTATGTTTGTTTGTCTCTTGTGTACCAGGAATGAAATTTAGGACCTTGCACTTGCCAAGCAGGCGCTTGTGCCACTGAGCTATATCCCCAGCCCTCCATTCGTATTTTAAAACTGTTAAGAGACAGAATGGATCTATGCGTGGTAGCACATGCCCAACTCTTTAGGAGGCTGAGGCAGGAGTATCACAAGTGCCAGGCCAGCTTGGGCCACTTAGACCTTGTCTCAAAATAAAATTTAGAGAAGGGTACAGGGGATCTGGGGATGTAGCTCAGTGTTAAGAGGAGGTACCTAGCACATACAGGCTCCTGGGTTTGATCCCCAGTACTGTTAAAAAAAAAAAAAAGGGACCCTCCATATGTAGGCTGAGACTGTATCATGGAGAAGTTGGACCTTCTGATTTTCTGTTGTTCATTATCTCCATGACCTTTTGGGAACTTTGTGTCAGGGTCATTGGGTAGAGAATGTAAATGCCAGTGAAACCAGGTTGGATCCACTTATTTGAACAGGTATCAGATCCACCTCCAAAAACTTTATATTTTTCAGCCTACAGTTCAGGGAACCAGTGTTCAATGCTGTCTTTCAGTGACATTGTTCCCATCTTCCAGGGTTGACACCATGTGGCATTTGACCAGATGGGTAAATTCCCAGTTGTTGCCCTATATTTACTGATTTTGCATTTATTTTCTGGCCTATATTGGTCCCCTTATTAATAGCAAAAACTATCATTTTAAAACTATGCCTTGATCTGTAGCTGTGCCTCCTTTTCTTGGCTCATTCATGTTATCAGGCAGTTTTTCCTTCAGAAATTTTAAACAAAAACGGGATATGTGCAATAGAAATATATATATATTTTAATACTTGTGGACAAATGTTACAAGTTGTTTAAGAACAACAAAATCACCAATGTCTTCCATTTTGAGACGTGTATAGTTTTGTAAGCATTAGTGCTTGGTAGCATATTGTAGTGCCATGTTAGGGGTTAGTGCATGAGCCTAGAAATAATTTCAATAATTCAGGATGAATTATTGATAATAGCCAATAGTGTAATATGAGTGGAAAATCTAGACTTTCTTTTTCATAAATATTTGAATCTAATATTATTCCTGGGGAAATGAGATTAAGGCCAAAAAAACCCAGAAATCTTTGTTCACAGTCCAAAACAATGAAGATATATAAGCTTTCCACAAGGCAGCGAGAAATATCTGCCTTTGTGTCCTATGAAACCTCAAATCAAAATGAGTCGTTTTATAATTCTGCATTGCTCTTTGAGGTGACCTTGTTCTTATAAGTCTCACATTGTATTACTTGAGTTCATTTTTCCTGTTCTTTTGCATCAAGAAATTATTTTACATTTTGCATGTCTTACTGAGATGTTGTTAATTACTTCAGTGAGTGCTTATCTAATCTCTAGGCCATTTGCATTTCCTGTCTACAGTACGTGGGTTAAGGGAAGAACATTGTCAGTGGTTTGGAGAATCCTAGATTGTTACATATTTGCAAATCTGCTGAATTGTGTATTGACGGGGTTCCAGACCTTTGCATGAGAATTGGAAATGTAGCTAGATGGAGCCTTCCTCAGTTGCCATGTTAGTAGGGGCTTCTTTCCCTTGGTTATAGTAAGTCTCACACAGTTTTCACTTTTTTCTACTTTCTTTACAGAAATAAAATAATTTTGTTTTGAAAGCAAAAAATGTTTTTTCTGTAAAAAAAGAATTCTACCTCTAAAAGCTGCCTTGAGAACTTGGAGGTGGCAGTTTTCTGGAGTGCTTCTTAGATCTCAGTATTGACAGTCCAGGATTGACATATTCTACATTAGTATGATAGGAAATGTAAACTTATTTTCATGTGTGTCATGCATAAGCAAATTCAGAAAGTAGATTCTGGTAGCAGATTTCTAGGGACCCAGGTTTAGGTTCTCATAGTGTGCTTATAGTAGTTGTATTTTTGCTTCAAGTAGCTTAGTGCCTGGGAGAATCTGTTTCTGAAAAGCGTTTTTAAAAACTCTCAAAGTAATGAATGCAGAATAACACAGTATACAGGAAAGGATATTTCCTGTTGAAAAAAAAAGCCATAAAATGAGTTAATAATTTCAAGAGGTAGAATTTTAGTAGCAATAACAGTTTGCATGTATAGCGAATTGTATTTACAAACTTTACAGTAGGATAAATGGTTACTACTTGAGTTGGTGGGGCTCTGTGACAAACAGAGTTACACAAAAGGAAAAAATATTCTAGGTAAAGAGCATATAAAAGGTACATTATTTTAAAATAGTAGGAATGTATATGAATATACCTAAGAGAGAAATACCAACTTTCGTGTATTTTAAAAGTTTAAAAACTATTTCTTTTCCTAAGTAAAGGTTTAGAGGTTTGTTGAAGTCTTTCTAGTGCTTAATCTAGAAACACATATCCTCCTGCAGCCTCAGAAGCCCACAAGTGGAGGTTTTGCTTAAGTTGTTCTGGCTGGCAGCAAGCATTTGCTGTATAGAATGCCATCTTTTCTCCTTTGTTACCTTTATTGGCTTGCTGGGTACATTTGTAAAAAAGAAAGAGTGTTGTGTGTGATTAGGGTTTAAAAAAAAAAAAAAAAAATCCCCAAAACTTTCATAGCTGGCTTTTTGTCCTGCTTATGATGAAAGAAGTTAGGTTTTAAAGGTAGTAAGAAGTTTTATTACAGATCTAAAGCTCTTTTAGTATTATACTAAATCAATCAAAAAATAAAGGTAAGAAGCTGTTGCCAGGCATGGTGGTACACACCTATAATCCAAGCACCTGGGAGACTAAGGTAAGAGGACTGCTACAAGTTTGAGGCAGCTTGGGCTACATAGCAAAACCCTGTCTCGAAATAAGTAAGGGTAAGAAGCAAAAGGATGGAGGGAAATAGCCAAAGACTACACTAGGTTTTTTTTTTTTTTAATCCTGTTCAGTGTAGATACAGTGAAACCTATGGCCTGTGACTGCTTCCTTTGATACAAATTTGGCAGACTACTTTCTTGATCTGAGGAATATACAGCTCACCTGAGAATAGAGTAGTGGAACTGGGCCAGCTTAACTTCCTTTCGCCTCATGTCCATCTTGGCCACTTAGCACTTTGGAGATCCCTTGTAAAGACTGTATTTGTTCTTCGTTTTCCCAGAGGGAGGAAGAAACTGAAGTGGTACAGATCTATGAATCTCTTGAATATTTTGTTATTATTGTATATGTAGCTTCAACAGACAAGGAAAAAGCTATGTTAAATTGATTGTGCCTCCTCTTCAGTGTCCTTTTTTGTTAGACACAGAATAACCAAGCAATATTCAGACATTTGCATGATCATGAGAACATGGCTACTAATTACAGCGATGTTCAGTTACTTCAAACAATTAAAGATTACCCTTAAAAACCATATTAATAGTTCTAAAATATGCTACAAATAGTCTCAACATATGTGGTTCCTTTTCAAAGCTTGTGGTCTCTTGTTTACTCTATGTACTTGTGATATGCAAACTATGAAGAGACCTTGGCCTCAAGGAGTTTACATTCTTATGGTGCTGTTGGTGCCAGCAAGTTGCTTATAGTTTATTCATAACATTGCTTGGCTGTTAATTATAATCATTTTGGAAGGATCCCTTAGCCAGTGGTTTTAAAAGCAGAGGGCTAGGCTAAACTTCAGGGCATCGACGCTTGAGTTTACATTGTACTAGCTCTGCTCGTCAACTCCTTTCCCCAGGGAGCTATGCAGGGGCCGCTCAGTGTGAGTCAGAGAAGGAACCATCCTGCCCAAGAACATTTTCACCATCCACCCTCCCACCCATGCTTTTCAATAGCTGTCAATAAATGGCCCAGAAAACTTTTCTTCCTTGCACATCTCTCAATTCTTCCTTTACCCAAGGTTTTTATATCATTCTTTACCCACAAGGGCCAGGATTTGAATGTGAGCCTCGTTACTGAACAGTGGTCCTAATTTTAAACTTTTCGTGTGACTTGTACCTCTGTTCTTAAAACAGCATTATGATGTGAAGCACCTGCCTGCATTTCTAAGCAATTATTAATACTCAAGTTTCTAGTGTACAATTTGCATGTGTTCATATTTTCTATAATTCCTGGGTCAAGGGGTGTATTCTGCATGTTTATTAAAACTGGGTCCAGTTGAAAGTTCAAGCAACAGTGGCAGGTCACATATGTGATAGTATACTAATATTCTATTGCATGACTGCAAATTTCTAGTGTTATGTAGTTACTAGTAATTTTATATATGCATTTATTAACAATGAAGCAATATAAACTAATAGCTTGAATTTATTGTTTATTTTTCATTTTCTAAAGATTATCTAACTTCCATTGCAAATGGGAAGTAGATAAACAGGGGCAACCACAAGACATTCAAACTGAGGGATAAATGGGCACAACAGTGCTTACCCTCTAACCTCTTTCTTAGTTCCTTTAGTCCTCAAGCATGTTTGAAAACAAAAGACAGAAATTACGCATGTTTATTAAATAAGCTGCT